ACACCAACCTCTCGTACATCGGAGAGGGCGCCTACGGCATGGTTTGGTGAGTGTCTACTCCGGTTTGCAAGCTCGGCCTCACCCGGTCACCCCTGCCTGTGCCCCTGGCTGTTCTGGACGCAGCCGCGGCCCTTCCCGCGCCTTGGCCTCGCGTTCTGCAGCGACCTGGACCCCTGACTCCTCTTTGGTCCACAATCACGGAGCCCGTCGAGGCTTAGTTGTTGCTGGGGTGCTTCCTGGGCTGCCCCTCGTTTGCCGTTGGAGGGGCACCCCACACTGAGGTCAGGACCCGAGGACTTGGTCTCAAGCTCGTACTTTGGAGTCTTCTCCCTTGGGACGGGAACGGAAGTGCACCGTGTCCCCTAATTTATGGCATTATAGCCGCCTTCTTTGACATTAGATCGTAAAACCAGGAATTCCATCACAGGCTTGTCGGTGGTGGTGGAGGCGGCCGTGGTTTTGCAAGCGAGAATCCTCGGCTTGTGTGCTGAACACCAAAATATTTTTCTTCCCTTCCTTGTGTATACGTGAACAGCTTTCACAAAATATCTTCAGTGGAGCTAATGATGCGTTCCAACTTAGGCTTTCTAAAAAGCATTAATGACACCAGCGTTGGTTGTGAGGATATTTAAATCTTGAAGTTTCAAAATGGATGTAAATATCGTTGCGTTGCAGGAAGGATAAGCTAGCATCACTCTTAAAGAGTTATTAAGATGTATTTGGAATTGGGCCTAATTTGACTTTAACTCCTTCGTTACCATCGAGTATTTTCAGACCTAATTTTGCATGGTCACTTGTAGGATTTCTCACCTGATTGTGGAATGATGAAGTGTGTTGTTTTTACTGGAACAAGTATTTGTGTTTTGTACTGAAAACTTGTGGGAGTAGGTTTTCTTACCCCTAAATTTGTGTCTTTTGTGCTAAATGAAGAAAACTAATTTATTGAAGGTCTCTGAGATACTCTGCTATCCGAATAGTTTAATTTTGTCTGGATAGCCATCTTGAGGAAAAAGATACCCTCTTTCAGATAAGGTATAGAAAGGAAGTCCTTTCCCAAGGGCGAAGGACTAGAACCAGGCTCTGATTATAGACAGATCCTGTTTCAAATGCTGCAGCTCTTCAGTCATTACACATGCCTTTCTTTAATGTTAGTAATAATCTTGGAACTTTAGCATATTTTCCTGATGAGCAAGTCTATTTCAGAAATGCATTCAAATTTGAATGGTCATAATTTTAGAAATGGTAGGAAAGACGTGTTTTCCACCAACTGTCTTAACTAGATAGAATAATTAACGTTCTTTTTAAAAAGACTCACAGTGTACAACTATGAAGATAAAGGTGAACTGGTCTTGGGAGTCAAAACAAATTAAATTAGGTCACAATTAAAGACTTATAAAGGAGTACTTAAAAAAGTACTTCCCCTTCACATCTGTCTTGCACATATTGCTGCTCTTGTACCTGCATGCCAGTAACTCTCTTATTATACTGAAGATTGCCAGTTATAGTTTCATTTATTTTAAAAACTAGCTTATTTTAAATAGGCACAAAAATTGAGGATATGTCATTTGGACTCCCCACAACCACCTCTGTTTGATAAGATGGATTATTTAGATTCTGGTGCTATTGCTGCTGTGGAGTTACTTAACCTTTGAAGTTTACAGCTGCTGTGCAAAGTTCTCTTTAAAATTCAAATTTTAGGGGCTGGGGAGATGACTCAGCAGTGAAGAGCAGTTGCAGCTCTGGGTTCTAGTCCCAGTACCCACCTGCAAGCTCACAACTGTCAGTAACTCCAGTTCTAGAGGATCAGATGTTCCTTAGACACAAATTTGAGGGAAATACCCATATTTGTGAAATAAATTAAATTTAAAAATACAAATTTTAATTTTAAGAAAAGTGTAGACCAGGTGGTGGTGGCGGCATACACCTCTAATCCCAGGAGGCGAGGCAGAGGCATGTGTTCTGTGAGTTCAGGCCAGCCTGGTCTACAAAGGGAGTGCCAGGACAGGCTCCAAAGCTACACAGAGAAACTCTGTCTCAAAAAAAAAAAACAAACAAATAAAAAATGCAGGTACAATTGGAATTTGAATCCTGGATCCATCCTTTTATCTCCAGGTTGATAACATCTTAGTATTTGTAGAATATTTTTAATTATAGGTCATTAGCATTTGATCATTAGCTGGGTTTATGGAGAACATCTTGACCTTAAATGCCTGCTTGAATAGTTGTGATCTTTTAAAAAGCTAGGCTTAACAATCAAGACCATCTTCAGATCCCAGCATCTACATTAGGTGACCCTCTGACTTCCAAGGGCATCTGCACATATGTGGTTCAAAGAAAACTCATATGTACATAAACATACTAAAAAAATAATTTTAAAAACCATGAAAAAATGTTTAAGGGATTTTCAGCTATCCTTTAGCAGGGTTTTCCCTAAAGTAGTTCATTGGAAATTGTGCCTATTTTGGTTAGATTCCCCTTCCTTATGTAGAAGACAAAAAGATAAGATTGGGTGGTGGGTGCTCAGCTTAGTTCCTACTGGAATTCAGTTCCTAACAGCCAGTAACTCCAGCTCCAGGTAATCTGATGCCTCTGACCTCTTGTGGGAACCTGTGTGTATGCACATATATGCATATATATGAACACACATAATAAAAATGTTTTTTTTTTTTTAAAGAAAAGGCTGGGTTTTGAGATGGATGTTTAAAAGTAGGTATAATTTTGATAGATAGTAGGGACAAGTAATAGTCTGAGCTGTTGAGTCTAATCTTAGAAAACTGGGTGAAAACTGTAGAGGACTCGTAACGGCAAAAGTAAGTGATTGTATTTGTTCTGTGAAAAAGAAAGCTGTGATGTTTTTGAGAGTCAGTCATGATCAAGTTTTAATTTTTGTGATGGTACAGAAATCAGGCCGTTGTAGCCATCTTAAGATGCAGTAATTCATTGTCAGGTCAGTAGAGATGAGAAATTTTAAGCAGACCGAATCGGTCAGAGGAGCTCTTGCAGAAGTGATAAGAGATTTAACAAAAGGAAGGGCAGAAGCAAAGCAATGGTAGTTAAAAGGTAAGAATCTGGGAAAGATGGGCTTAGGTTTGAAGATTGCTGAGCTAAATGAGATGAGGCTTAGTATTGGGGCCCTAATCCAAGAGAGGGTATTTTAGGCACAGCAGGTTTACCAAAGAGAAATGGTGAATTCTTTGTCAGCTTATTAAATTTGTAGACCATTCATGGCTATACAGAAAGCATCTTGAAGTTTGTAGCAAGGAAGCAGGAGCTAATGATGCAAATTTGCATACAAAGGCTGGAGAGGTAGCTCAGTATTAAGAGCATTTGTTATTCTTACAGAGGGCTTGGGTTCAATTGCCAGAACCCACATGGTGGCTCACAACTGCCCATAACTCCAGTTCCAGGGGATCTGACCTCTTCTTCTGGCTACACAAGTACCAGGAATGCACACGATGCACAAACATACAAGGAGGCAAAACACAGAAAAAAATAAATTAAAAAAAATTGCCAGGTGATGGTGCCACTAGCCCTTTTAATCCCAGCACTTGGGAGGCAGAGGCAGGCATATCTCACTGAGTTGCAGGGCAGCCAGGATTGTTACACAGGGAAACCCTGTTTTTGGGGATAAAGAAAGAAAGCTAGCTTTGTATACAGTGAGTAATGGTTGAAATCTTGAGTGAAGGAACACAGATTATTATTTGAGGCATTGGTTTCTTAAAATTGTGAGCATGCATGTTTAACATCTTTTTAAAGCCTTGAGGTGGCACAGGAGGAGTACATCATCACTGCAAAGAGAAAGCTGAGAGCCAGTGAGCTATGTGGAAGAAAGGCAGCGACAAGAAGGGAGAAATGGAAGCTGTGCACGTGATGTCTACTAAGATGACTAAGTTCAATTTAAAAACTTATTGCAATTCATGTGGGTGGGTGGGTGTGTGTCTGTCCGTGTGTGTGTCCTTGGAGGCCAAAAGAGGGAGTAAAGTGGCTTTGTGAGCCGCTTGATGTGGTTACTGGAAACTGAACTGGGGTCCTCTGCAAGAATAGCAAGCACCCTTAAACCCTGCCTTCCTGGTTCTGAGAGAGATGCTATTGTCAGAGAATTGCTAATTTTATCTGTATTGGATATATAAACTGGAGGCCTTATGGGATGAAGGAACCCCTTTTTTAAAAGAATAAAGAGCCATGAAAGGAGTGTGTGTGTGAGAGAAAGAGAGCTGGTTTGTTTCCTTTCACCCTCAGACCTTTTTAGCCAAGCCTTACCAGCTTGCTGTAAGCCTCTAGCCCTGGACCCTGAGAGGACATTGTGGCTGGAACTTAGAGGTACTCGTTAAAGGGAGGGAGGATGAAGTTGAGAACATAATGGCTTCGGTAACAAAAATGTTAATTAATTTTTTTCTTGCATCTCATTTTAGCCTTCTTTAAAACTGCTCATATAAAGTCATGTGCTCAGAAAGAGTTTATCAAACACAGCATCACTTGGTTCCTGCATGATGGTAATTTTGTCAAAATAGGATGTACTCAGGCAGTAATACAGACACAATACAGGAGAGATATATGAAAGGCTAGGTAATGGAAGGCCTTTCAGATGTTTGAGCTTAGTGTTGGGTAGTTTATCTTTAAAAATGCTTTCTAGGCAGAGAGAAATAATACATGCAAAGGCACAGCAGCACAAAAATAGCGTATGTGGACAGGAGAACCAGAGTGCCACTGCTACAGTAAAGGACACCTTAGGGAGAAAGGTGTGAGTTTGACAGCTGGGAGTTTGAACTTGGTGTTATAGATGGCTGGGACTCATCAAAGGATGGCCTTTTCTGCAGTTCCTGATAAAGTTTGTGTCTTCTGCTTGCTCTGTTATTTCTGTCTTGTGTGTTTTGAGAAAGGACCTAGTAGCTCAAGCTGGCCACTGACTCACTCTAATTGAGGATGATTTTGACTCCTGGTCTCTTGCACAAGTGGTAGGTTTATAGGGTGTGCCACCACACCCAGCCTGGGATTCAGAAACTCAGATTTATTTGCTAAACTAATGAATTTTAGGTCATATTTAGA